ATCTACCATATAACCACTCATCTTTCTTAATCTTGATTAATATCTTAATCACTACTATTAAGAAGAAACTAATTAACCCACCGACTCCTAATCTTCTTCTCTATCTTTTGATCAAAACCCAAGTCTTGTTTTTGCCTTTTATAGACTACCCATCACCACATTCTGGATCGAATCGAATCGTAGGCCGGTCTGGTCCTTCTTGACATATCAAAGCAGAGGAGAAATGTTAGAGCGAATGAAATGGGATGAATTAGAGTATTTGAGAGTTGTTAGAGGTTGAGGCCAAGCTCGTCATCTTCACCCTCTCTGTTTTGTCTTTCTCATTCCTTCCTTCAGAGTATGCCACAGAGAAACTGATCTTTCTCTTTATAAGCTGCCACACAGCATAAACAAAGGGCCAGTGTTTGCTATTTCAAGAAAAGAAACGGGCAACGTTTCTCCTTTTCTGCTGGGCATTGGGTTACTGCCACGTGGACTATGTCCAGATGTAACAGTTGAGTCTATTTTTAGGTGCTTTGAGTTTGAGCCTAGTGTTTTCCCAAACTTCTTGGGGGGTTGTGATCTACACCCAGTCTAAGTCCATCTTGTTGTGTGAGATTAAAAAGGGGTAAAGATTGCCTTTTTAGATTGGGTTGATAATACTAAGCGAAGTGGCTTAGATTGGGTGTTGTTAAAAAAGGGTACAAAATCCAAGCAATTTTTTTTGGTTGGTTAATGGGGAAAAAAAGAAAGAGAGAAAAAGAAAAATTTGAAACCTGAAATCTCTGGCTGCTGATAATTTATGGGTTCCCAATAAGCAAACATTGAAAGTTTCAGAGATTTTGCAAGTGGGTTTTACTAAGTTTTGGCCTTGTATGCAAATTGCCAGTGGCTTGGAGTGGTTTGGAAATTATTGATGAGTATATACAGTTGAGTCTACTAACTTTATCCCTGCCTTGTAAATAGCTAGCAGACATATTTATTCTCTGGATTACACAGCTACTTAAAGAGCATATTTTGATTTCACACTATATATGCTTTGAGATTCTTCAATTACCCCTAATTCTCTATCTTTTGCATATATTTTTGGTCCCTAGCTTTTGTTTTGTTTTGTTTTGTTTTTTTCACTCCCTGAACTGTTACAATAAGCTTTGACTGGAAATTTCGTTGTTAACCAAGTGTGCATACCACTAGAACATAACTAATTATATTTATGTCCAGTAAAAAACATACAGGAAACCGATTCATACATTCACTTTCTTTATCATGTCACGTGATGAGAATGATAGAAAGAGTGGGTGCATGAACTCATGAGTCTATAGTGTTCCAATGTGGAAACTCAAACATGTTTGCAATGCCTTGCAAAACCAACAAAACTAAATTATGTTACTGCAAACATTATTTGTCATAGAGAATTGCATGATGAGTTGGAGTGTTCTTGGTAATTGCTTCACTTTTCAAACAATACTTTACATGAAGAATCCTACTACCTCTCTTACTACCCATAAATATTTGTTTGAAATTGTTGTTATGGTTGGCAAAGAGATTGCAAAATCACCATCTTGCATTTTTGTTACAACAAGTAAAAACTAATCTTTGCCTCTCACATTCTTTCATAGTTAGTAAAATACGGAACGGAAAAAATAAAATAAAATAAAATAAGTACGTATTTTATTTGGCAAAATACTATTTATAAATAAATAAAGAAGGAGCGGCCTAGAAAACATGTACGGCCGCACGGCTATACTGTTTTGTATTAAAAAAAACCAGAGTCTAGCCGCGTGGCTATACTGTTATATATATAAAAAACCAATGTATAACCGCGCCGCTATATTGTTTTTATTTTTAAAAAAGGGTGTATCCGCGCGGCTATACTATAAAAAAATTCCGCCCAGCGGCTATGAGGGCAAGTGTAAAAAATTTATAGCCGCGGGGCTATACTATTGTTTAAAAAAAAATTTACCCTAGTAAAACCGCGCGGTTATACCCGTAAAAACCTGAGTATAGCCGACTGGCTATTCTATTTTTTCAAAACTGGTTAAATTGAACCCTTCATTGAATGTGTCAATCTTCTCCTCCTGCAGCATGTTCAAAGATTTCGTTGCTAATAGTTGAAAGTCAGGTCAACTATAACCACAGAATAAAGTCATTTTTATTTTACAACTGAATCATAACATATAACATTTGATATTTATATTCTTTGGAGAATAAATCAATCAATCAATCAAGCAATGCAGCAAGAATAATGGTCTATTATCATACAGGATTCTTGCCTGTTTTTAATGGCTTCTGTCACTAAATTATCAGTAAGATAAGATAATTTAGGACAAGATCAAGGGTTGCAAATAAGCCCCATTGCTTTACAGAAGACACGTTTTCTAGATTGCACTCTCTGTTTGAATGGTTCCGCTTCCATTGCTGATTAGACACCTCAGAGCAACCTCATAAGCAGCAAAAATGGCTCCATTCACCAGAAAAGCTCTAGCAACCGCAGTTCCTAGCCCTCGCCAGAGCACGCCGTAACCATCCTCCTTTACACTCTTCCGGAAGCAATCAACAATGCCGTAATATTTCTGTGGACGGTATGAAGTTTCAGCCTGCAATCTGGTTTTAACAACATCCAAAGGGTAGCAACAAACCCAGCTGGCAACTCCTGCTAGCCCTCCTGCCATCAACATTGTCTGCAAGCTCTCTTGGCCAGTGCTTCTGCAGCCCGGGTGAAGCTTCTCTCTCATATACTCGTAAGTCCAGAAGTAGAAGCAATGAGAAGGTGCATCCCTCAGAACAGTGATGGTTAGACCTCTATATATTCCCCTTAAGCCTTCTGCTTTAATTATGCTCTTGGCAACATCTACAGGCCCTTTGTGGGACTGCAGTTTATGGGGTTTCGATTTTGCACGGCTTTGATCATTGGTTTGCAGTTGAAGCCGGATTTTTATAAGTTCTACCGGGCTGAGAATTAGGCTCTGTATAGCACCTGTACCAAATCCTCCTAGAGCAACACCTTTGTAAGAAGGAGGGTCTTTGGGGGATAAAGATGAGTCGAATGCTCGAGAGAGGATGGCGTATATCTGGAAAACCATGGCATTCTGCAAGGCACGAAGAATTTGTCAGCACAGGAGTGAAATGATCCAAACTCTTGCAAAACTGTTGCACATCAATTTGATGATCTGAATGATGTATGCTTTGGTTAACCAGCAATTGAAATGCCTCCATTATATTGTTATAAAATAGGAGTGAGGAAATCACCACTCTTGTTATATTGTTACTTATAATGCACGCAATTGTGCATTTCAGTTTCTACTTTATAACTACAAAGTTGGAGTTGCTACAGATAGAAGAAGCTGAATTTCAAAGCTGTTTACCAGCAATTGAAATGCCTCCATTTCAGTCCGTAAAGAATAGTAAGAATTACTGTTCTTTTGTGTGTTTGTGAAAATATATTTGAACAAGAACAGTATTAAAATGTGAGTCGATAAGTTCAATGTATTATGTATATATGGTGCCTATATAGATAGTGACACTCCAGAAGAGACGCAAAAAGCAATTCCCATGATTTCAAAAAGAGGTTTCAAATGGGATACTGACATTATATAAAATGGCAAAACGTACCATCCACCCCACCAACCACTTTCCCACCGTCATCCTCACAAAAAGACTAGAACTTTATTGCAAACACTTTAGCAGCAATTAGGATTTGAGTGACTCATAATTGGAAGAAATCTTTAGAAACAAACATGCTTTGTTTTGTTCAGCACTTCTCTTTTGATAAATTTTTTTAAGGGTGAGTTATATTTTTCACAGTTGATGTCTTTCAAAAATATATTGGTACAAACAATCCTTGAAGTTACGAATCTTTGCACTATTGGCTCTTTTGTCAGTCTAATCGTTAAATTAATCTTTGTTTTATTTATTTATTTATAACGTAACACTCAATTGACACCATTTTCTTACATGAACAATGGATCGATGATGCGTAAATTGGGTTAGTTGTCCAGCCATAGCTACAGTGACAAGACCATAGTAGCAAGGTCATGCTTAAAGCATCTTTAAGGGAAGAGGCAGAAGAGTAGGCAAACTTCATTTGCCTTGCTACGTCAACATCTTCACGCTCCAAGGGAAGAGGCAAATAGGTACACAAAATATAACTGCTCTCCCCAACAAGGCAATATTGCCTACTTCAAAGTGAAGGGGTATATTGGGCTCCACTTGCTTTTTATAATAAAATATCATCTTCACTCTCTCACCTACTTTCTATAAAATATAATAGTAAATGTAAAAGATAAAAATAAATAATATAATAATACTTCGTAGACTTGTATTGCCTAGTCCCTTGAAATGACTAATTTTTTTCTTGAGGCAAATGGGTAGGTAACATGCCACCTAGGTTGTTATAATACAATCTTTCCTTCTTCTTTTTTTTGGTCGAATACAATCTTTCCTATTTCATTTGCCTCTTCCCTTGAAGATGCTCTTAAGCATCGACCATTGCTTGGGGTGGCCATGCTTATCATGAAAGGCTACTTGGGTAAAAGTTTTGGCTGGGAGTGAAAAAAGTACGTGGGTGACTAGTGTGAAGAATAGGCAGTCATCACTGTTTTCAATACATTTGGGGATATAAAGGCTCTATTTCTAAATCCTCCCATTACCGGAAAAAAGAAAAAAAAGAAAAGGATATTCTAATTGATCTTCCTACGCAGCTAAGGATCAACATAAACATCCGCATAAAAAAAACATCTTGTGATCAACATAAAGAAACAGAAACAAAATATTGAAACAAAATTGATGAATTTACAACAAACAGAGTTTAAAGAAGAAGAACCTGAAAAGTGACAGATGCCAAGGGTGCAGCCATGCCTCTGTAGAGGGCAGTAGGGCCTTGGGCAGAGACGACATTGCGTAACATGCTGAAGGCAGAAGAACCGGAGGGTGAACTCTGTTGCCAGACGCGGAGAGTGTCAAGGGGATAACCAGAGACTACACCAGCCATGCCTCCAATGCCTCCAGCCACAAACTCTCTCCCCCAACTGTTTGCAAGAAACTCTGGCCAGAAATCCATTTTCCCATTCACCAAACACCAAACACCTCAGATTCCACCACCTTATTTTCTTCTGATCAAAACCCAATTCTTGATTTTCCTTGCAAAGCCACCAAACTCCAAATCTAGGCTCAAATTATAGGATCTGTGTCTCTGTGTCTCTGTGTTCGTGTGTGTTCAAAGTTCCAAAATTATAACTTTTGTGTGTGTGGCTTCTCTGCTTTCTCTCAAATTCAGCTGGAAGTGACCAATTTAGATACAAAAGCATATTCAATTCTAAAAAGGGTACTTGGATTTCCTTTCTGGGTTCTCTGTTTTCTATATGCAGCAGCAGCAACAGCAAAAACAACAAGAGCAAAAAAGAAAAAAACAAACAAACTCTTTTTTCTCACTTGCTGCACAGAATTAATATGCCACAAAAGTGTCTATCTTTCTCTATGCCTGAGGGAAACAGAATCCAAATCCTTATGCTTTCTCAATTTCCTCACCTTCTGAACCAAGAACTTTTCTCTCTTTGCTTTCCACAAGGGAACGAAACAAAAGCCACCGGTTGCCAATTTGTGGGGGGCGTTGCCTAAGCCTAGCAGAGGAAACGGCCAATGCTTTCTTTTCAAAGAGGCAGTGCGGGCCTGCCATCTGTACCAATGGGTAGTGCACACGTGGCAGCTGAGTCTTGTTTGAGTGCTTTCGGCCTAGTGTCATTAACCAACCACCTTCTTCCGTGGGATGGTGATTCACGACACAATAACCCATTTTCAGTGGTTCGGCTGATGCAGCAAGAAAGAAAATGATGAAACCAGAAAAGAAAAAAAAAAAGGGGCCGCTGATAATGGGTTCCTATAATAATATGTGAAAAGTTTACAGAGATTGCACAAGTGGGGTGTACGAATGTTTGGCTTTATGTGCCAATTGCCAGAGTGTTTGGTTTTGTAACGAGGAAAGTTTGCAAATGCATACACGTTTGTTTGTTTGTTTGTTTGAAGGCAGAAGAAGGTGACATCACATCCATTTCTTTCTGCCTTTGGATTATACATAAACAGATCAATCAGTCATAGTGCTTATAATATAATCATATCATCTGGATCAGAAACGTCACAGATTTCTTTTCAATGTTTTGTTGTTTGTGAATCATGATACGTGATCATATGGGAGTCCCGTGTAGGAATGATACTAATGATATGTTTAGTCACTTGAATGAAAATAAAAAGCACGCAAAAGGCTTATAGAGCATTTATTCATTCACCCGAGGTCCTAGTTCGATTCCCTCCTTATTATCGTTTGTATCAAAAAGAAAAACATACACAAATATGTTAGTAAACAAAATAACATACACATGCATATATACAGGTTTATAAAAATTGGGGGCCAATTATTTTTCTAAAGTTAATAAGGGACCAATTATTTTTTTAAGTAAATTTAAGTTTTAATGGTACTTGGGCTTAATATAATATTAATATAGTACAATTTTCAAAGTAACATACATATGCATATATAGAGATTTATAAAAATACAAATTTATAAATAAACCCAATCCTAGACATGTATTTATAAAAAAACCCAAACACTATTTAAACATAGAAACACACCCAAAATCAACTCCAAAATCAACAATTGTATATTTTTTGGGTGTGTTTATAAATGGGTTTTGAGTGTGTAATGATGGGGTTTGGGGGTGTTTATAAAGTGTTTTGGGTGTTGGGTTTTTTTATAATTTCAGCCCCTATTTTGGGTGTTTTAGTGAAACTCCCCCTGAAACGTTGTCCTCAATGAATAACTTAGCCTAAGTATCCCCCCAAAAAAAAAAAAAAAAAAACTTTCTTGTAAAGGGAATATGCATTATCAATTTTCGGGGCCTGATGGTCATTAAATTAGTGGAGAAAAAAAAGTTTTATTCTTTCTCTTCGAGTGTCCAAAACTTTTTTCTATCTTTTCCTTTTGTTGTGGCTGGTGAGGGTGGCGGTCGGGGTAGCTGGGAAGAAGGTGAAGTTGGTGGTGTTTTGCCTATTACAAAGAACATGAAAAATACTATTTTTCTCAGAAAATGTAACAACATGAGCAACGATACTAACGAAAGTGGAGTTAAGGGATTACATCAACCATTTTGCGAATTCAATTACCAAGATGTGAATCAGTTACAAATTAAAGACTATTGCTCCTCAAAAGCCTAATATGGAAATAATGAGTGCCTTCCCAACCACGAACATTTCCACCGGCCAAAGATTTTCTACTACAAACGTGTATCTTAAAAATTCTCAAAAAATGCATAAGCCATGGGATGAGGCCCAAAGTTCACAGCCCACAATGTGCAAGAGACCTGCTGATCCACGACTCGCAAGTCGGGTCATAGGCCATACATTTTGTTCAGGGGCTGACCCAATTCGACTAATCGATCGAACCTAGGCATATGTTACCACACTAGTTAATAAGAGAATGAACCCATTTTAGCAACCCAATTTTCTTTGGTTTTTCGTGATATTGAGTTTGACATAAGAAATTATTGTGTGGCACTGAAATACGGCTCCTTAATTCTTGCATGATGAGAATGGATGTGTGGTTTCATGCTCGTAAATGTGTGGAATACTCTCCAACTTAGCCAGCCCATAATTAGAGTTGGGCTTGGATTCATGGTTTGAGTTGGGGCAGACTTATTAGCCGAATTGCACCCAGTCAGGAGACTCAGAGTCAGGTGATAGAATATTAACTAGTCTTGGTAGGAGGAGCGCAGCGAATATCAAGTCCCGACCCAAATGGCGTTGCGGAGCCTGACGCTGCCTCTGCCTTTCCCCGCCGTAATTCCACCATTACCACCTTCTTCTTCTTCTTCTTCTTCTTCTTCGTCGTCATCTTCTTCCTGTTTGTGTAGTTTTAGACCATACCAGTATAAACCCAATCCCGGTTGCTCTATCGCTCTCCGCGCAAAACCCATCAGCTTTCTCAACCGTCGGAGGCAAAGCCATGTCGTTCGGATGGCTCCTGAGGAAGAAAAGTTGACCCGTCGCTCCCCTCTCGATTTCCCCATTGTAAGTTATTCTTAGACATATATTTCTCTCTGGGTAATTTTGTCAAACACGTTATGTGCTTTGTAAGCTTCTATAATTTGTTCTATTGTCTCAGTATTTGCTTATAATGCTCGGAATTTTGCATTTTGAAATCATTTCACACAATCTTGTTGGGCTCAGCAGCACGAGGGTTCCTGTTTATTGGGTAGTTGCTTAGGGAGCTTGCTTGAATTGGATGTCGTAATTTGCAGCATTAGTATATGACTCAAAACATAATATTTCTTTGTTTTTTTTTCTCTTTTGATAAAGAAAACATAATATTTCTAAGTTCATGATACACAAGGTTTCAAGTTGAATTAATGGTGTGGTGTCTTAGGCCAAGGCTTTGAGAGGTTTTTTGCTTCCTCAATACTCAAGTTAATGAGAAATCAACATTCAAATGGTTTTAGAGAAAAGTTGTTTAATTAAGCAAACACTTGTGTACTGGGGTTCAGAATACAAGGTCCAAAGCTGCATCTAACCTGAGTTTATAATTGACCTGGCACTTGGGCAGTGCCTTAGATTTTAGAACTTGATTCTTAACTGGGTCCACTCATTAAGTTTTGTTCATCTTGTGTGCATTTGCTTGCATTGCAGGAGTGGGAACGACCTAAGCCCGGGAGGAGACCGGATATATTTCCCCAGTTTAGCCCAATGAAAACACCATTACCGCCTCCACTGCCAGCGGATCCTCCAGAAGAAGATGAAGAAGAGGAAGAAAAGAAAGAGGAGGAGGAAGAAGGAGAAGAAGATCCTGACAAGGAGAACCCAGAAGACCCAGGGCAGCAGTAGCTATGCAATGAACCGGAGGAGTTTGTGGAGCATATTTCATTGATGTGCTGCTGCTTTGTGCATTTCAAGCTTCCCAAGTGAGACTGATATATGTGGATGTGATACTATTTGGTAGAACGAAAGATGGATATATAGAATTGAAGCTGTTGAAACAACTTTCTTGGAATAATAGTAAAATGTAATGCTTTGTTGCCTGATTACTTAGATATAATGCTGTTTTGATAAGCAAATCGAAATAATACTGTTCTGTGCTTTTGCTTTTCTTAAATAAGAGGGCTATAGCCGTTCAATGAGAAGCTGCTGCTTAAAAAGTGATTTATGGCTTGTTTGGGAGCGATTCTAGATAGGCCAATAATCACTTTCATAAGAATTACTTTAAAGTGATTTTAAGAAGAAGCTTAATTCTCATAATCGCTTAAAATCACAATTATGGAAAAGCACAAGAGGTGCTTCTTCCCATAAGTGATTTTGGCCCAAAATTACTTCCAAAACGATATGCTTCCACTTTAGTTTAAAGCCTTAATTAGAGCACTTCCACCCTTAATCTTTTGCCATGGCCTAGGCTCCAAAAATAACTTGCACCAATTACCTTTTGCCATGACATTAAGTGGTCCCATGAAACTGGGCAAATCCGAAGCAAGACTTGCCTAGGCAAGCTAACATCATACTGATGTCAACGACCAATTTAAACACCAAAAATATAAAAATAGAAAGGAAAAAATTCAGAATTTTTTTTTTATAAATACCCAGTCAGTCATATCCTTCCCTTCCCACACCAAAATTCATACAAATTCCTCTCCTCATATCTCATGTGAATAGTAATTACCTTTATATTGTCATGACAATATATAGGAATGCATAAAAAATTGCTAGAACAATCACTATTCATGTGAATAGAATAGTGTCTGCCCTTGTCCTTTGTCATAACCACTCTAAAATTTGGAGCGAGAGGACTGCAATAATTTTTATTTATTTATAAAATATAAAAACCAACCTCCCTCGCCTGACACATGAGACAACAAATTCAGAGCAAACAAAGATAATGCTGCAAAGAAAGCTTAAGAAAGAAAACGCAGGAAGGCTCAAGATAGGCAAACTCCAACTAACTTATTTAGACATAGTCATACTGTTACACACTGAAAGTCGCTCATGCGTCTAGCAGCACATTAGAAACTAGACCACCACATAAATTGAAAGACTTCAACATAATAGTGTTTATAATTACAGCCCAAGAAAGATATATTGCACCCCAACTAGAGGGTTCTAATAACCCTCTCATTTCTTCCCACTTTTCTTGAGCCCAGCACCTCCAAAGGATCCCTTCTGTTGTGCCTTGGCTCTAAGTTCCTTCAGTGCCTGTTCATGACAAGAACGAAAATTTAATCAATAATTTGTCAAAACCAAATAAAGGAACCAAGATATGCTAAGAATCGAAAAAAATCCTGACCTTTTCCTCATCCTTTTTCTTCTGAAGGTTAGCCAAATCAGACTGCAAGTAGCAAATAAATTCTTAGTGCAAGGGACATATTTGAATAAACATTTAAGAAGAATTTAGCTGGAATAAGATTAGGAAAAACGCGGTTTGAACAGCTCCTTCAGTTCTAGATTCAAAGCATGCAGGATTCAAGATAAAAGTGCAAGGAGTCATGAGATAGCATAGCATGTGGTGTGGCATAATGCCATAAAATTAACCATAAAAGATTCCTTGGGGGCAAATGTAACCCATGCTGCTATTAGCTGAACATTGAACATCTGCTACTCAAAGAGATTTCCTGGGTAACTAATACTAAAAAGAGAATTTCTTCTTTTATACGCCAAAAGTAAACAACTACTTGGGTCATCAAACAAATTATTGAAATTTTTTGAAAAATATTAAATCAAGCAGCCTGTTTCTACCTATTATATGGGATATTTTAAAATTCAATTTCTTTTTCAACCGCAAGAACATCTTAATATTAAGACCAGATCAACATCAAACCCAGACAATTAAACCGATCTATTACTACAATTATTTCCTTTTCTATGTAATCAGTAAGATCCTGAGTACAAAATCCACCACCAAAGCTTCCAACTTTAAAATTCAACAATCAATTTAAACAATCATCAGCGATACCTCATCGTAGTCTTTCTTCTCGGACTTGGGTTGCTTCAAAGGCTTTGCCTTTCCACCTAAGAGAAGAACAAAAGTTTAATTTCTGAATCCAACATCCCCAAAAAATTAACAAAATTTTAGGGTTTCTTTTCCTTACTTTTTGATTGACACGAAATAAGAGTCAGAATTGAAAATTGAATCTAAAAAAATCTAGGGTTCTTATCGTCAACGACGTACCTTGCTTGGAAGACATGGCTGCGATCTAGGGCAGGCTTGGGTCGAATCTGAGAGGAAGGAGAAATTCCCAGGACAACCCTACTGCAATAATACGCACAGCCTTGCCATGACCGGTTTACAAATCATCTCTTTATAATGGATACTTGCACGTGCTTCTCACGTGCACGAGTCAACCCCTGTTTTTGGATCTGGCATGAGTCAATCCTTTTGGTCATCTACCTCCAATTATTATTATTATTACTACTATTATTACTAACATCTTTGCACGCACTTTTGCACATTCGAAAAGCTTTTTAAAAAAATTAAATTAAATTTATTTTAGAATTAAAAAAGATAATAAATCAGTAGTTGTGTTTCTAAAAAATAAAATTCATTATATGATTTTAATTTTTTTAAATATGAAAAGGTGTGAATTTACCATATATCCTCATTTAATTAATAATTTTATTTCTTAATATTTGGATTAACCAAGAGCATTTTCTAGTATTTTGAATGTTTCACCATTCTCTGCCTTTTGCTTTATATAAAGGTGTACAATTTTGTCAATTGGTTGGCGAAAAATATGAAAGGTGAATAAATTTACCATTATTAGTTTTTCTGCCTCTGTGAAATTGTAGATACTAGAGGGATAATTTGTTAAAAACAAATTATTTAATTCAAGTTTTACCTGTTTTAAAAATTAATTGAGAGTGTATTTTTTGGGGTAATTTTTGTTGTGGTTGAGAGATTGGTCGGTTGGCAATCACATTTCTTCTCTAAAAACAGGTCATTCAAAGAGGTTTTTTGATATGTCATATAACTACTAAGAAAAGAAGAAGTTTGTTAATTACTACTTTCACAATTCTTTATTTATTATTTCTAAATTAAGATACAGAAAGAGAGGTAAAAAAGAGAAGATGAAGAAGAATACAAACGCATTCAATCCACCATATTCTACTTGAATTTACAAGCACATTAAAAAAAATTAAAATAAAAAAGGATTTCCAACTCTTCATCATGGATTGTTCATATTTACACATCCTTTATTCATTGTATTTGATCATCAGATAAATGAATTCTTGAAAGAATCATATGTGGCATGTATCTGTCCACCCACCATTGTGCTTGAACACACACACTCACACACACATATTTACATAGTTACTGCATTTACCTTGCTTCCATCACTGAGACTGTTACATCATTTGTGGAGCAGATTTCAGACTTATTTTCAGCCATCTCTCGCTCTGCCCTATCTGTATTTAGGAAAAATGCTGGCTGTTTTGGTGGTGGTAATGGAATGCTTTCATTTGAGAGCATGGAAACAACATCTGGCATTGTTGGCCTGTCTGCTGCATGATCTTGTACACACAAGAGACCCACATGAATGCATCTTAGTACTTCAGTAATGGGGCAAGATTCACCCAACACCGGGTCTACTAGCTCGAATCCTCTATCTTCATTCCAGAGCTGCCATGCCTGAATGAAACAAGAGCATGTAATTCAGCAGTTGCATGCAAATGGGAAGGACTTGATGGCTGCATGAAAATTTTCTCTTGACATATAATCTATTATGTTATGTTGCCAAATTGTCGATTTGCACGATTGGTTAAGTGAGATTTTTCTCAGACATCAAGTGAATATCACCTTGTGGACATAACCCATATTTAGTTATGAGAACTTACATATCCAATGAGGTTGAGTTGATACTTGAAATGATAGTTACTGTTATTTTTCTTCCCACTCACAATCTCTAGCAGTAGGACTCCAAAGCTGAACACATCAGTTTTTATAGACACAATGCCTTTCATGGCATACTCCGGAGACATATAACCACTGCAGTAATACAAAAAAGAAACTTAAGCAGTTGAAAAATGCAGACATTGCACAGTACAGACAGGTAAAATTTGTGGATGCAGTACTTACTATGTCCCAACAACTCTATTTGTGTTTTCTTCCATCTCATTCAAACCAAATATTCTAGCCATGCCAAAATCAGATACTTTTGGGTTCAGGTCCTTGTCAAGTAAAATGTTGCTGGCCTTTAAATCTCTGTGAATCACTTTTAGTCTTGAATATTTATGAAGATAAATCAGTCCTTGAGCAATCCCCTCTATGACACTGAAGCGTTTCTTCCAATTTAACACATTCTTTCTCTGATCATCTGCCTCAGGGTAAAATGTAATATCAAGTAATTGAATATCTGTGCCAGAATTAGGAATAGCAGAAATGTATGTGCAAATTTGCTAGTGATATGAAGGGCAAGGACCTACCAAAGAGGATGAAATCTAAGCTTTTGTTAGGCATGTACTCATAGATCAATATTTTTTCTTCTCCCTGGATACAGAATCCTAGAAGCCTCACAAGATTAGTGTGCTGGAGTTTGGCAACAAGGATGGCTTCATTCTTGAATTCCACCAGCCCTTGTCCTGAGCTTCTTGAAAGTCTCTTTATTGCTACTTCTTGCCCATCAAGTAATTTTCCCTGAAATTATGACTCTTTTAGGGTGTACTTGTACCAAGAAAATAAACTTGGAATTCAAACAAAACTCAGGATTTGTAAAACGACATATACTAATGAAACACAACATTTTCTAATGTAAATATTGTACCTTATAAACAGGTCCAAAACCACCCTCCCCTAGCTTATTTGCTGCTGAGAAACAGTTTGTAGCAAGAGCTACTGTTTCAAAACTGAACATCTGCAACTCATTATTGCTTTTCTTCCCATCTTTCTGATGTCTTCTCCCTTCACCAAGTTCATGTAATAGGATATTGTGTGTCATTCTTTGCGACCGAGAACCTCTTGCTTTGGATTTTTTCCACAGGACATAGCAGCAGGAGCAGAGTAGAGGGAAAAGAGCAGTTCCTCCTACCAAAATGGTTAGCCATATCCACCACAGCCGTACTGCATTGACAAATAGATTTCATTAGTTATGTCAAACTGGCCAGGATTGTTCTTTCCTTATTTGTTCCATTTCTGTTATAAAATCATGTTTGTAAGTAATTAAGATCAGCTTATCTATTTGAAATAAATACTTTTTACTAAGAAAACTGAAAAATTTATCATCAAAAGAAGTTTGACTTCAACTCGTAAATTGAAAACTAGTTACCTTTAGATTCAAGGATGTGTATCTCTCTCAGGATACCTAGGTTGTTTTGCGTGAACGTTGTCCCTTTGGTCCAAATCTCACAGCCGGTACCATCATTTGCAGAAGCATAAGCAATACAGGAACAAAGTTTGAAGCACTCATCCCAACAATCAATGAGAGTGAGATTCTGATTTTCATGGAACTTAATCCCACCACGGGACATAAGACCCATTTTCAACAGGAATTTCTCTCCGGGGCTCCTGCAGTCGGGAAGCTTCTGCTGAACACACCCATCTTTCAAGGAAGAGTTGGTGGAAGATGTACATGAAACTCCTGTAAACATGGAATCCATCCCAAAACCCCTGAGTTCACCCCCTGCACTTAGCATGAGCCTTGGGAAAATAGTGGTACCTTTATCGACTGAATAACTGAAGTATGTTTCATTCCCATTTGATATGTAGCTAAAGTTGTACTTATAATAATTGCAAAACTCATACATGAAGCTGAAGCACCCATTGTTCCAAGGCCCACTAGTCCAGTAGATGCTTCCTCTCCACCATATGACCATTTGTTTTAAACCAGTAGGGTCCAAACCAAGTGTAAATGACCCCATGGCAGGCAAATTATCAGTTCTCCATGAATTTAGAGTCCAATTGAGGCCAGTTTTTCTGTCAAACCCCAGTTTCATTTTTGGCAAAAGTGTGCCAGTTGGATAATCAAAGCTTTGCCACAACTCCTGTTTTATAGATCCATCAGGGTTCAGTTCACTGAGCACAAAATTGCCACTGTCAAGTAGAGTAGCACTAGTATTTATTGCTTCTTGATGAACTGAATATAGCTCAATAGAATCTCCTATGTTGTATAAAATTTTCAAGTTACCATACTGATCAATTGTAAGAACTCCAGAGTTTTCAAGAATCGGATTGTTTCGGTTTGCGATCCACGCTGCCTTTTCATTGTTTCTGTTGTACCATATTCCTAAGTAAGAAGTATTTGAATTTCCAGGCTTGAAGAATCCTAACCTGAAAATCCCAGAAGCTGAAAACAGCTGCATCCCATCCTTGAGCTGTTGGCCTTGTGCTAAAGTATCAGTTTGAGAGTCAGAGGGCCCTATGAAGATTATGCAGCAGCAACACAGAATACAAAGAAGTATGAGATTGATTTCCATGAACCTACATGTACAAGCCTTGGCTTTGTTAAGCCAATAAGCCTTGCCTTGAGGATATAGAAGTTAAAGTCAAAACAACTCTCTCCACACAAAAAAACAAAAAAAGGTCAAAGCAACTTTTAAATTGCAGCCTCATAAATTGACTTTAAAGGGAATATAATTTAAGAACTATATGAAATGAAATTTTCCATCAAAAGAGGAGGAAGTGGAGCCAACTGATTACCAAAAAAACAGCAGCATGTCTTGGCTCCTTAAAATTGAGGGGAGTACATAATCACAACAAATGAGATTTTGACACTTGTTAAATTCAAAAAGATAAAAGGATTGAAGTAATTCAAAAAGAAAAAAATTAAAAAGAAATTTAAAAGTGTCAAAATTCCATTTGTTGTGAGGAGGAGCTCCTCCTGTTTTAAGGAACCAAACTTTTTCCATTGAGTGAATGGCGGGATGTTCATGAGGAACTAGAATTCCTAGAGGGCCTGTTTGCAGAGGAGGACGTGCGGAGGGACAAGAGTGGTCATGTGACCACATGTCGGCCAAAAATTTAGATGTGGAGGTCCTCATGCGACCCCATAGCTGGCTGGTGTGCGACCCCAAGACGTACACCAATTGCTCGATGAAAGGCCTGAGATCGCGGCGGTTTGGATGAGCCACTTGGAAAATAAATTTGGGCTTTCATGGGATTTATGAATCTATATAGACTGAGTAACCTATTTGGCAAGCAAGACCGAAGAATGAACTTCTGATATTACATGGAATTTTAAGATAGAAAGTAACTCATGTTTAGGGCTTATTTCGAAATTCTCCCTAGCGACCGAGTGAAGAAAGCTTTGCCCCTAGGAGGTTTGTGTCATTGCCTAATGAT